TTTCAGTATTTTATTTTAAACTACATACCTCTTCCATTCTAAGCTTTTCACCAGTTTATTTCTATCATTAACTCAATTTTCTCTTTAACTTTACAGTTCACTTTTGGAAACAATCCAAAACATTGTGTGGAGAGTAGTGAGGTGGGAGGAACATTTAATGTTTTAAAGGATTACCAGACTTAGGTGCTACATTTCGAGGTGTTGCTTTTCAGCAGTGCCATTGTACCATACTGTCTGCTATTTCTCTAAATGTCATCAACTTGTCAGCTCATAAGCAGGTGTAAACCTTTGTTCCTCCCCAAGTTCTCATGTTCAGTGATGTCAATGGAAGTCTGCAAAGAGTGTTGTGTCAAGAATTCTGGGGGGTTTTTTGCAGGCAATTTAAAGGTAAACATTTCTCTTCAAAATTAATGTCATTTTGTTGCTACAGCAAAAGAAAGTAACAACACATTTTTAACTGGATTACTAAAAGTCCTGAAAACAGAAGAGGTGCCTGGGAGGCTGCGCTCAGAAAGCACTTAAAAGTCTAAAAATCACTGGAATGTGCAAGTAATGGAAGAAAATTATAAAATAAACCAAATAAAAATATCCAGACATGGAGAGATGAACATTTTATACCAAGCCACACACATCCTAAATTCCCCAGTTGATAGTTACATCAAAAGGCAAAAAGTCCTCTGTTTGACTTTTTATAAAACAAATATATATTCTCATAACACACTGAGATTTACGAAAGAAAAAATTAAATTCTAGGATTTTTTTTAAATCAGTGATGTACAGAAGGCCAGGACAGCAAGTGGAATTTCTGTCTTTCCAGGTCTTGTTAGACATCAACAGGGAAAACAGGTGAACGATTTTAAACCACCAGTGTGTGGGACTTGTGTTGACTTAGTGACTTACCACTTCAAGCAGGGTTATACTATCTGAAGTACTAAAAAAAAAAAATTTAAAAAAAGGAAAAAGAGCTTAAGTATTCTTTAACATTTCTAGCATACATTGTCTCTTACAGAAGTGGAATATGAGTTAATTATATGAAATATGAGTAACTGATCAACTTTCAGTGCTGCTGAGCTGAATTTAGAATCAAATCCTTCATTGTTAGACTGAGAGATGGCAGGAAAAACTGTAAATCATCTGACTGTTGTGGATATAAAAAAAAAAAAAAATTTAAATTTTTGAAACCAAGATGTTATTCCAAGAAGAGAAAAATGTTTGCAGATAAAGGGGAAGAAAAGATCATCTTAACTATTTCAGTGGAAGAGAGATCAATGTTACAAGTCTGGGTTTATTTTCTTTTTAGAAAGATGTGAATCTGGAAGCATTTTAAGGAGATGAGAAGTTAATACTGGGTGAGGTATTATAAGAAAAAGTAATAAAGTTATATGCTACTTCTCTAGAGCTATTCAACTGTTGAGGTAACCAGGCAGAGAATTAAGACCTTCAACTTCACTGAATGTTGTTTCCAGTAACTTCAGTCAGGTTGTTTAGCTATTGGTTCTTCAGAAATGAAGTGCAAGAGGAGAAACTAACTGATTTCTGATTATAAATCTGCAAAATGGTATTTCTGCTGTTGCTATTGCCTTTCATCCTAGCACGGCAAATGAGGTATCACTTGTCATATTATTTGGACAATAATTTTGTTGCAATCTTGGTTCCTACTTGCTGTGGATACTATGATAAAAGTCTATCTCATTCTGAAAGTGTATTAAGCATACCTGGAAACAATAATACTTCAATTTTTTTTTCTGCTTAAGTAAAATCACATCTGAAAAAGCCGAAAAATATTTAACACTAAGTAAATGAAAATGCACAAAACAGAGCAAATCTATAACACAAATTTTGGGATGGAGAACATTATTTCAAACTTAAAAGTAAAAACAGAATAAAAAATAAAGGGGCACTGAATTGAGAATTCCTAAAACACAGAAGCATCTCTTTCCCCTCCTCCTCTCTCTTTTCTGTTTTACTTCTTTCACCTCCCCCCAAACAAGTGATTTTTTGCTTTAACTTGACAAGTATTTCACAGTTTCTCAAGCATTTAGCAATGAGGATCTAATTGGAAAGTGCCAGGTTCTTTCTTATTACACTTTATCAATATTGTTAAGGGAATGATGTAATTGTTTGGGGTTTGGTGAAGACATTCCATGTCACTTCAGTGTTAATACCAGGCTGGAGCCTTCCTTGTCTGCCTGCGCAAGCTAGATAAACATAGACCTGTGTGCTTTCTTCTCATCTCAGGATACTTACTCAGAGAGATCTTGGAACATATGCCTATTGCGAGCTAAACATTTCACTTTTCATTTTTATCCATGTGACAGAAATCCATTCCTTGGATAAACACTTTACATACTGACACTCTTAAAGTCACTAAACACGATAAATAAAGAGAGAATACATCATTTCAAAACTGATTAAACATTTTCTCACTTGTGACAAATGAACAGCTATACACTGTATGGAGTCCCTGGAGCAGACATTCCATTTTCTTTGTCTTCATTTTGTGTGTAAGATTAACTTTCCATTTTAGCTCATCTATTGCACAACTGAGCGTTTTTAAAATACACATTGCTGCATTTTCTCCAAATCATTATTCATTTCAGAAACAATTTTTGTTATTGCTACAAGAGCTTTTCTTTTGGACTTTGTTAGTTTGTCTGTATTAAAATACAAAAGAAAATAATAATAATTATTAATAATAAGAAACCATAGATTTTAATTAAAGCTAAAGAAATGCTTCCATGCAGTAGACATGAACTTATATACAGGCTGACGTCATCCACTTGAACAAGGAAAACCCAAGCACATTAATCACATTAACTTTGCTCCATCTAATCCATCACTTTTCCTTGCACTACTTGCTTGTCTTGTCATCCCATGCACTGCCGTCTACCTATGATTAGTCAAATGCAACTAATCTTTTATTTAGCTTCTTAAGCTCCTGTCATCTTTCTCATCCACTCCTGCTAAAAAGGATCCCAAGCATTTTATTTTCAAGCTAAATTAAAAATCTTACTGAAATAATCACACAAAATACTAAAACTGTATATAAAGTTGTCTTCAGTGTTCTAACAAAAAACACTAATCTGATCAAGAATTTCAGTGGGAAGGTGGAAGGAAGAAAGAAAATATCCTTGTTAGATATTCACAGAAAGGAGGAGCAATGAAGCAGAATTTTCTTCTTTGACCAACTGTGTAAAAGAAGCGGGGAGAAGAAAGAATTAGGGATTAAAGTCAGAAGAAGCAGACCAAACTGAACAAGAATCCCTGGAGCAGTTTGCTTTCTTTCCCCATCAGGCTAATAAAACCAATACTAAGTTTTTTATATGAAGGTTCCAGTCTTGTCAGGGAAAAAGATTAGAAGGGAAAGTGAATTAGATACCAAAAGATAGTGATAAGTCACAAGATTTCTGAACAGATTGAAGATTCCGCTGTCATTAGATTTCCGTCACCTTTGGATTTGTATTCAAATCCACTTCTGACAGGACAAATATTTTCCTTTAAAGAGCAATTAGAAATCACAACAATCTCCTAACAGTGCCAACTTCTCTCAAAGTTTTATTGTGAAGGATAGTTTTAAAGATAAGACTTATGTAACCAAGCAGCTAAACAAGCCTAAGAAACTTCAGGAATGCCTTTCATATACTTGAGCAAGAGGTACGATACTAAGCCAAAGTAATACCCTAATATTATCTCAGCTTGTTAGAGCATTGTGCTAATAGCACCAAAGTTGTGGGTTTGAGCCCTCTATGGGCCATTCATTTAGGAGCTGCATTTGATGATTCTTGCAAGTCCCTTCCAACTCAGAATATTCTGTAACTCTGTAATGAAACTTAGGGCAACAGAGACCTGCTCAAAGCAGCTCTCTGTGCTTCTCTTATACTCCCTTTCCACACCACTGTGATTCCACACAACCAATGTGCCACTCAAGGACCTACCATCTCCTCACAAGTAAGAAGGGAGGTTCTTGTGGCACTCACTCTTCTTGGCTTCTTTTTCAGGTATTATCTTTAGTAAATGGCCCAAGGGAATAGAGAAAAAAAGTGACATTGTACTAGGAAAGACATCAACTGCCCTGTGGCACTACTGCAGGTAGCAAATTTGGGTGCTGAGGCCATAGAATGGCTGACAAACCTAGTAAAAACTAGAAACTTTTATAGTCATACAAAAAGAGGAATCCTATTGAGAGACTTCATAATTCTGGGAATATATAATGGATATATTAATTAGTAGTTATTAAGTGAGAGTTGTAGCTAGTACAAAAATAAAATGCTATTTTCATTAAAAGAAAAACAAATACAGACTCTGAGTTTCCATAAATTTGGGTTAAAAATGCTGTGTGCCATATTTTGATCTCTTGCTGGGACTGATAAAAATCTTTCCCATTTAAACACTGCTGCTGGAGAAGTCTCCAAAAAAATCAGAACAAACCACATGTTGTGCAATGCAGTGAGGTTCCCAGCTTTGAAAACTCTCAACTGCACATATCTATAATGAAATTTAGTGAGGTATTTTGCTTTTTGCTACAAAAAAAGTATTTGAAGATCTATTAGAAATTCTAGAAAGGAAGTCACATTTAATTATACGTCTCATTTATTTGTTTAAAAAGGTTTTACATTTTTCTAAAAAAAAATAGACATTTTATAAGCACAGGAAATTGTACCTAATGAATAATACTTGTTTGGGTAGTGTGAAATACCTCTCAAATCATCATGATACTGGTGTAGTATGAACAGTGTTCTCTCAGTTCAAATGTTGTACCCTGAATTTACTTTTACATAAGGTTAATGCATTTTCTGAAAGACAGGAGTAATGTACAATATTTCTTGAAAGAATTTCAATCTTTCTTCATTGTCAAATTAAAATTGACAATAACTAAATATCACTTTTCTGAGTGCATTTCTGTACCACTCAAAAACACAGTACTGCTAGCTACCAATACATCAACGGCTAAAAACCCCATATTTTTCAAAGAAAGGTCTTACTACACTGCTCTTTCTTACCTTTTATGTGCTTCTGTCAGTGATTTCTCTTCATTTTCTTGGTCTATTTTGGCTGTAAAAATAAAATCAAATAATCAGTTACAAGGTGAAAGATAGAGATGTTTCAGGATTATTTTAATTTTGCATATGTTATGTGTAAAATATATAGAATCCACATGAGGATATACTCATGTAGGTCAATTATGAGAAAAAAACAACCAACCAACCCCCCATTCAACAAACAACCGCACAAACAAAACTACACAAATTTTGACAACCCTATTAAAAAGAAATCCAAAACCACCACCGCAAAAAGAAACCAATCCAAAACTCAAAACCTTGAAAAAAAAAAAACTGCCACTAATCTAAACAATAACCAAGTCATGAAATTGACTTAAAGCCAGATCTTAAATAATGATTCCAAAAACTCAAATAATATGGGAACTTGTCAACCAAGAGGAGGAAAAGCTGAGCAAAGAGCAGTAAGGATTCAGCCTTACAGCTTTTGTACAACTTGTGTGACAATTACAAATGAACACTCTTCCCTCTCCCTGTACACACATCTGTAAGTGAAGTACTGGAGCTGTAGCAGGTCCGTATTGAAAACATGACTAGTTTTATATGAAGAATATTAGTATTTGGTGATCATGTGAAGGAAATTACAATAAGGAACTGTCCTTCCCCCACACTGGTGAAAAAGTTCTCTATTTGCCACATGTTCTCTCATAATTTTTTTGCACACATTTCACTTAGATGACTGAAAGAACACTTCAAAAATCTACAAGAATGTGCACATTAACTTAGGCATCACCAATATGCAAAGCAATTGTCCATCTGCTCTGAGCATGAGCTTAGGTGAAATTTATACTTATGCAGTCATTCAGGCAATACAACTTAAATCTCATTTAAGGTTTGCATGCTTTAGCAGAAAGGTCATTTAATTTGGTACTTGAGTCTTTTCTCAATCTACTAGACTTCTAGACTGTTAACTTGCAAGGAGAATTATAAGATTCCCAGGAGTCAGAAAGTTTTGAAACATAAAAAGGTTCTGAACTGTCCTGGTAGCAAATGTCAGTGCTATAAAATTCATATAGAAATATAAAAAAGAAGAACCTTTTAGCTATTTTTTATTCACTTTCCTACATTGCTCTACAATATTAATTCATTAAATTATTTTTCCACATCATAGATACACTACCTTTGAAAAATTTTAAATTTGTTGGAGAAAAGCAAAGCAGTGGAATAATTAAGATACAAAGTAATTTATAAGCATACACTCAAATAGGCATGTGAAATCTGTAGCAAAGATATGCAAATGGAATTGCCTTATACTTTCCTCAGTCACAACAATGATCTGAGCTTTGTCTAGTGATGCAAATACATTTTATTAGTAGCAATGCAGTCTTCTGAGCAGTAGCACTGCTGACTAGTGCCCAGATATTTGCAGCAGGAAACATTGTATTTAGTAATCATTACTTGAAGATTTGGGCTCCACCATTGTTATCCTGAAAGTGAAAAAAATATCCCAGCAAACCACAGAAAACTTGAAGGAGAGATGCGTAAATGTTCTGAAGGAAATTGAAGAGCATGTGAATCCTGAATGATTACAGGTTACAATACCAACTTGAATCTTGGCCCAGATTCTTCAGAAGGTTTGTGAGGGCTCACAACCCTTTTGAGTGAAATTGAGCCTAGTGCTGAGTGAATTTGGGCTGACTTAAGAATTTTTCTTGAAAGCCTTGCATTGCTTTGGATAAGAAACCAGGTGAAATGTGGCAGCTTTTACAGAATTTCATTAATACTTTTTTTTTTTTTCCATAGTTCAATTCTAAAAATCAAGGTAAGACCAGTAAAAACATATAGTTCAAAAGAGAAGATGTGCACAAACTCTCCGGATGAAATGAGATCAAATACCTCCATCTGCATGAACACAATCATTAAATATCTGTGGATACAATTCCAAAAGAAATAATTCTATTACTGAAAAATGCAATTTGGACTTCTTTCACTTAAATAATGCTTAGAAATAGAATAGAGGATACCCTATTCCATCCTACAACAGTCTTGTATACTGTTGCATATGTCACATTTTTAGGATCTAAATATTTTTTAAATTTCCAAGATTGATGGGATGGAATATCATTAGAGTTGCCTTGTTTTAGGTCCTTTCTTCTTTATTTCAAATGCTCTGCACAAGTTTGCACACAATTAATTACCCATCACTTATGGAGCAAATACTTCACAATTTATTTTTTGAAAGAGTGTAAGCATATTATCCTAAGCTTATCAAAGCATGTCAGAATATCTCCATTCAGGCACAAGTTTCCTTTCAATTAAAAACAAAAGTTATCATGGTCCAGAGAAGAAGAAAAACAAAGAAAAACAAAGAAAAACAAAATCCAAGTTATTTCTGGTATCTATACTTTCGATGAATTAATAGAGAATTGATATTACACAATGAAAAGAAACTGCAGAAACCCTGAACAGCAGAGATGCATGTAATAAATAATTTTCTCTGAAGAATTTCCTTGTAGTTTGTTCCAAATGTGATGATATTTTTAAACCTTCCTCATTTTATCAAAAAGATTTTATACAAGAGAAAATCTAATTTGCAACCCTTTTGCATTATCATTTTTCTAGACAGAAAAGGTTAGATATTGTGAAAGAAACTCTTCTTCCACAAGACAACAGGTGGCACCAGTGAAAGAGAAAATATGGTATATGCACTCAGACCTGTCCCTGTCCAAAGAAAACAATCAGATGACTGCTTTTGCACTAGACAATGTAAACATCCAAGAGCTGTGGAAAATGGCTAGTTGAAGATATGCAGTGAAATTTAATTTGTAAGGGAAGAAAACCTCCTATTATCAAAACAACAGAATTTTTACTAACACCTGGATATAATGGAATAACTATTAGATGCTGCAGCAGCTGGAGATTGTTATAACTTGTGGAATATTAGGAATATTATCACCTGATATTATGCACTTTATATGCACTTTTCTCTGTACTAATCACTCCATTGGTAAACTACTTCCAATTGCATTTTCCTCTTTGAATAGGGGCAGGAAAAAATTTAGTTATGATGGATCCAGTTGAATTTTTCCAGAATGCATTATGCTTCATCATTTCACTCAATATTATGCATCTATGTTATCACTTCCTCCGCCAAAGCAGTTCATCACAGATGTAAAAAGAGCATGTGAAAGGTACTGGTTTGGCTTCTTCATTCTTGGCACGTATTCATTAAGTGCCAAATGCCAGCTAAAAGTTGCCCACCTTAGAACATTCAGGAGAGAATAGTGTGCTTCCCGGTTACAAAGAGAACACCTATAATAGGTGAAAAAAAAAAAGAAAAAGAATGTATATACCCAGTCCACAGTGATCATGACATCATGACACAGTGATCATCAACAGTCAACAGAGAAAAATTAGATAAATCCTGGGATGCCATGGCAGCTGACCATATAACATAGCAGTGACTGCTTGCAGGCTTTCTGACAGATTTAGAAATTTCTGCTTTTGGGTTAGTTTTCTTCCCAAATATTTTACTGGCTCATCATCTTTTCTAACATCTCCAGCTAAAAATTTGATTCTTGACACTAATTTGCTGAAGAATGTCCAAATAAACTGTTCCAAATCTATTAAAGACTATATCATACCAGGAAATACTAACTCCTTTATTTTGCGTAATACACTGGTAAGCAAAAGTAACAGATTTATATGTTGGCCTTTACACACTGTATATATTGTAGAGCTTTTCATGCAGCTTTCATAATTCTGAAAAATCTACTTCAAATAATATAGTTGAAAAATAACCTTAGGTCATATTGAAAAACATGGCCATCTCTAAACTCACAGCATTTTAGAGTCAAAGTGACCTCTAACAGAGTGAAGTGACCTTATCAATAGTTTACAACATGTTCTGCTTTAGTTATATTTTCCCTTTTTAGTTTGAAAGCATCTTTAATGCTTTCTTGTTGGATGACATTCCACTGTTTGCCTGCTTTTTCCATTAAGATACCTTCAGATTATTTAAAGTTGGTCTCCTTTTAGAGCAAGGTCTATAGTTCCTAAACACTTTATATATTTGGTCAAAATTCAAGTACATTCCTTCCTCTCTACGTCATTGCTTACCAAGTGTGAGGACTGTACTATATCCAAGGCTCTTATATAAATTCTTTTAACTACAGGACATATGTATCTCTTCAAAAATTACTTGCATCAGATGTCCTAATTTCTATTGTATCACTTTTTTTTTTTAATTTGCTTAAATTTACTGCTTGGTGTTTTATAATTGTGGCATAAAACTTGATTTCATGCAGTTCAAAATGAGCTTTCAAACAAGGTCTCACAAATGAAATCTAATTAACTGAATTTTCAAATCTTTTGTCCTTATCAGTACACACCCACATTCCAGAATGATACATGCCACTGTTTTGTGTGTTTGGTCTTCCAATTCTTTTTTTGATGAATCCTGCAAATGTCACATATAAACATCCACGAAGCTGCATATATGAATAACTATATTAAAGTGACCTATGCATTTATGATAATTGATGTATCTCACCAATCTGAATGTGAGAAATAGACACAGGCATATTAGAAAATGCTGGTCTTCAGAAGATTTGTAAAATTTTCTATTCTATAAATAGTATTTTGTTTCCAAGAAGCCTAGAGGATGAAATTAAATTAAAAGGGGCTCAAAGGCAAGGCTATAAACCACTGATTGACCACAAATTGTCCCCTCTGACCTCAGTGGATCATTTTCAGTGTTATGCTAAGCTCTCTGCAGAAATCAAGCCACACTGTGGATGAAGACAACTGCCAAGTATCCTCTCATTTTTGGTCCAAAAAACTTTCTCTGCTAGTCTCCTCCAAATTTAACTACTATACCTTGTGCACTAAATCTGACTTGTAAATAAGCTAATAATGCAAATATATCTATTTTCTATATGTACAGACCATTTTTTGTGTGGACAGATATTGCAAGTAACATTTGTTGTCTCATTAGTTGTTGCAATTTCTTGTTTGAAAGTGTAATATTTCACTATATCATCTATTTCACAGGAT